TTGATGCTCTGAAGACGCTTGTTGAGTCTAACCCTGAAATTGCATGTCTCTCATGAAACAATACATAAACATTTAAGGAATATGGGAAAACTCCATAAAGAAGGTGTTTGGGTGCCTCACTAACTCTCCGATGATCAGCGTTTCCAATGTGTGAACATTGCTCTGTCTTTTCTGGTGCGTAATGCATGTGAACCATTTTTGGTTCATCTGTTTTTGAAGAAAATTCATGGCTAGCAATAAAAAGATATATAAAGGTTTCAAGTGAAAATTAATAATTCTTGTAAAAATTTTTGTGCTTTATAATTTTCTCCTTATTTCAGAATACATTTGTGAACTAATACTGGGGAAAAATTTTGTAAACTCATCTGAGTGTACTTCAGCTTCTTCTCTAATTGCTGAGCCACTGTGACAGCCTTGCTAAACATAAAGAAAAACTTTTTCTTAGTCAAAATATGTAACAGGCACACAGAAAGGATTTAATAACTGATGAACACATTTGCAAATGATATCCAAGAAAATTATTAAAAGATATTATTAATTAATTTTTTATGATACTGCCTCAACAGTTGTGATTAAAATAACGAGTAAGCACAATAAATGATCACTGGTCAAAAATTGCAAATTTAATCGATGATTTCTGGGAATTAAAACAACATTGTTTATAAAGTATAATCCTATTCTTAGTGTGCATTGCTTTAGTGTTTGAATCCAAGCAGGAATTGTTATAGATAAGAGGATTAGTTTATGATTTTTTTTTCTAAACATTCTTCAATGATTACTGAATCTCTTTAGTGAATTACTAGACTAAGAACTTACATCACTGGTTCTGAATTTTCATTTACAATGGTGTCTTCATACAACTCCTCTTCTGCAGAGTGAGATTCACTGTCTGGCAGCATTGGCAGTTTTTTTCTCCTTACTGCAGGAACAGGATATGGCTGTGATGTAACAGGATGATTTGATTCTAATATTGGAGGACGAGGGGGAAGTCTTTTTGGTCGCTGAGGAAGTTCTGAAGATAATTTATTTATATTTTGTGAATATCAAAAGGCTATTAACTGGAACAAGTTAGTCTGACAAAGATTTATAATTTCTCAAATAAAAAGTGAAAATTGATGAGCATATTAATAGGGGGTGGTGGTGCTCAAATGGGTGAATATAGTATATTTATTTATATAGGATTGAAATATTACCATATTATGCTTGTGTTTAAAAAGTAGAATACTACTTGACACAAGTAAAGCGAGATATCAACTTGCACTGTACAAAAGTCCTACAACCAAAATTTTTGACAAATCCACAAAAACAATCAATATATTATTGCCCAGTTACAAAATTGAATATCACTTGTTTTTACAATAAACAAGAGGTGGTCTATGAAGGGCCATTTCTGATTAGTCAATACTCACATGACCTACCATTCACCACATTTCATGTGGCTGAAATCACATTCATGTATGTAGTTTGTGTGATCATGCACATGATGTAGGCACTAGAATATATTTTTTATAGCAGACGAACCACAATGTTAAAACATCTATGAAAAAGCAAAATAGAGTTGGATATTTTTTTAAACTGTTGAAAATGGAAGAAATGTAAGTATGGCCAAGTAGTAAATTCATAATAAATTGAACCTGATAGCTTGACCCATATATATGTATTATATAAACCATTCATCCTATAACCTAATCCTTTGCATTTCTTTTTTTTTCTGTGTGTGTGTGCACAACTTTTTAAGGCTATGTCTACTTAACCAGGAATGAGAGTGAGGAAAGCAAGGTTAAAGTAAATGTGATTGGTTGAATAGTATGAAGTCATAAACTTATTTTTTTCTTGTTGATCAGTAGCTGTTGATTTCTGCCTCAATTTCTGTCATCCCTTAATACAGGCATACTGAATTTCATAGTAAACAAAGTTAGGCCTAAATTTTCATAGTACAGTCCAGCCCCATTTATCTGGTCAGCCATGGGTCTAAGAAATTAATGGCCGCATAGCAGGGTGGACGTATAACTGGGTGTCACTGTATGGGATCAACTCTGGGATCAGACTGAGGCATCAAAGACACAGTACATACCCCTTCAACTCGCTCATAATACTCACCCTTCTATGTTTCTGTATTATTCTGTTGTAATAACATCTTTACATGCCTATTTTTGTATTTATTGTCTAAAAAATATAATTCTATACTGTATTTTTATTTAACAAATAAATGTAAAACTTAGGACGACAATGAGCTTCATGAATTTTCCTTGCACCACACAGTATCAGATGTCAAAACATGGCACTATTGTTTATGTGCACATGTGGTGACAATTGATTTGACTGAGAAAGCAGAGCTCTGTTTATTACAAAATGGAGGGAAAAGTGATAAAGCTTGAAATGAATGTACAAATTTTGCCATTGAACAAATCTTCTGTTCACAAGAAAACCAAAAAAATACTGAACTAAAAGTGTTACAAATGACAAAGTTTAAAGGAATATGAAACGTACTGTATGTTTGATCATGTATGTGTGTTTGTGCGATCATCAGTGCAGCATCAAGTGTAAAGCATCAGGTAGAATTAGTGTGCCATTAAAAGGGAACATCAATGGTCACCTGGTTTCTAACACTTACAAGACGAGGCCACTATCAGTTGATGTATGGTAGTGGTCTCACTTTGATTGACAGGTCTCAATTGGGCAGCTGCAGGTGAGAGCTGGCCTGGGTGGCCACAATACTAAGTTCAAAGAGACCGTTTGGGAGTAGGAAACAGGTGACCACAAGCCAAGCTGACTACAATATGAATGCCCATAATAGTGGATGTTTTACAAATATAAAATAGAAGGAAATATTTGGGATTGAGCTGAATTGCCAGTAATTAAGGGTTGACCACTATATCGCATTGACCAGTATGTGGGTCTGGACTGTAGTTTATTACTCACTGCACTATCTTTGTGCAATTTAAACAATTGTGTAAAATTTGATCATTTAAAAGAATCTACAACTGTCTGTAATTCTTTGTATGATTCTTTCTCCCTCAAAATTCAATTGTATTTTTCCTCCATTTTTATGTAGGCTTTTGTGCATCTTTGCAGATTACAAAACTTAAAATGAAATTTTGGTATGTAAAACAAACACAAAAACATACCAGTGGGCACAATGCAACAGGTCTATAAATAGAAAGACCTTACTGTTCCATGTAAGCATTGTATCAACATCTGAGAAGCCATATATGCATTCAATTCAAAGGTAACTGACACCAAAATGCTCTGTAAGAGTATCCCATATCAAATTTCATTGCGATACTTTTGACCTAAGGGGGAGGGAGGGGGGACATTTAATACTGTTGAAGAGAATAATGGTTCAAAATTATAGCAGTGTTGTGAACGTTATTAAAACTTTTGACAAGATAATCACTCTCAAACATGGAAAATACTCCATTTTGCATGAAGTTAATAACCCAGGAAACATATTAAAACTGTTTGACCTTAATATGACTCAGCATATGCTTAAACACAAGACTATATGAAATGAAGTGAGCATGGTCTAGTGGTTAGCATGTCATTACCAAAATAAAACATTGCACTCAGCAATTTGTGACCATAAGTGCATTATCAGAGTGACTGTCAAAGCCCATTATTTGGTCTGACTAGAAGCCCAAGAGTTGACAATGAATGGAGTTAACTAGCTGTCACCCCTATATTCTATCACTTCAAATTAGAAATGGTTAGGGCAAGTAGTTATTAAGTTTATACATAGAGAATATTGCACCTCTGCATCAGTTTAAAATTTAACACAGTGCCCCTGGTGTCTTTTTTGTTCACCAAACATTCTTTTTGAGTAATTACCTGTATCTTCACAGTATGGTTCTCTATTTGATTTGTATTATAGACCTACCTCAGTACTTGTTCAATTAATTTTATAAAGTTTAATCCTAAACCCAATTTTCTTTATTTACAATTAAAAAATACATAATTTGCTTTCTAACAATTCAGTTACTTCCTAACATTCAGAAAAGAGAAGAAAATGGTAAGTGGGTGTGCACCTAATACTTGTAAAAATTATAAGGTAGGGGGTATATCATCATTTTTCTGTTTTTCTAACCAATCACAGATCAATATTCTAAAGATATAGTTAATATAATGTAAATACAACATATGATAACCCTAATTGGGAAATAAATGCTTTTATCTGAAAACATAAAAAATATCTCAAAGATTTATCACCCATAATTATAAAATTATACATTTAAAATCAATGAGCTTCATATTTAGAATCTATATACTAAAAACATAAAGCATGCTGGTCTCATTTTTTGGGTATGTGGTACATGCTTGTACCATATGTTAGCACTTCCCATAATTTCCCCAAAAGGGGGCCAAAGGCCACCTGTTTTAACCACTCACACCACTATACATTAGTGTGTTGTCTATCAGTCAGTCAGTAGACACTAGAATGATGTCACATGAAGGGATGCTTAATGTTGCAATTTGTACTGTCATGACGTTAGTAAAACATGAGCATGCCATGAATCATGAGAAGAATGATGCATTCTGCAGGCTATAAAACAGCATAACATATTAACTTTACAAGCAAGAAATAAAAATATTTGTTCTTCTTAACTTTGGTTTTATGTACTCTTGAAACAGAATACTTTCGAGGACCCTGTGGAAGTACACCTAGTTAATATGTACTTATTTTTTTCTATTTTCTGTCAGTACAGTTTGGACACAGCAAATAGCTCGAGAGGACAATATAGCTTATCCTTACTATAGCTACACATAGGACTTGGTTATTACATGTTCTCTTTCACAGAAGACAAATGTTACTTCACTGTGATGTCTTGAGATACACAGCTGTCTTTTCTGTTGGCAAATTGAACAATGGCCCAGGGTTTCGACACCCATACACCTGTCTCATCTGGTTCAACAGATATATAAAGACACTTGCCCTTGCATTGCTTTATATCACTGTGTTGTGCTTCTACTTCATTTGTATTTGTCTTTAATAAAGATAGTTGTTGTGCTTTTATTTGTATTGACTCTTTCTTTATTGATAGACTTACAAAGGCTTGCCTTACAAAAGTTTTTGCTTCCTGGCTCCCATTCCTGGAAAGGTCAACATTATATTTTGGGTAATTACAAGCATCTGGTTACCTTACTCATTCTCTGATGCCTAGACACAGCTATTTTTTTTTTAATCTTGTAAGGATGAAATGGAAGTGGTACAGCAAGTTTGTTTTAGTTAAGATAATGTACAAGTTAAACTTTTCTGGTGCAAGCAAAACGTTACCTCTATTTGTAGCAGGTACAAGCATTTTTTTTTTGATAATTTCAAACCCTGATATATATATAAACATTTAAGAGCAGATATGAGTGATCAAGACTAAAATATCCCTAATCTCAAACTATCAGTCTACAGCGAGTTGAAAGAAGGTAGTTGATCTTAATAAATAAGAATAAAAAACTGATTCTCAAATGAAAAGTTCTTTGTTTTCAAATTATTTTTATTTTTGTCTATAATAAAGGTAACTGCTGTCAGGGTACACTTATTTAAACAAAAATCTAATGTTATGTGGTTTTAAGAAGTTTTTTTCCATATAAAACTACACATATGTTTAATTTCTTGCTGCTACTTCAAAAAATATTTTTAGCTAATTAACATGAAATTATTGTTAGGTATAAAATGCCAGCTTGTCAAATCACCATTTTAACTCTTTCCAGACGGGTCACGAGTCAAAGGCCATGTCATCATGTTTGTTGACACACATTAAAAATTTTATTTAACTACTATTTCATAAATTTATGTCAATAAGTTTGGTATCAAACTGTAGATTATAATTCAAATTTTAGTATTTTACATTATTCAATTTCTTAATTTAAAAGTAAATATTAAAAAAACATAGTTAAACATCAATTTTTGTTTGTCATGTGGTATCTTGAATGCAGCATTGGTTCAAATTAGATATTTGTAATGTCAAAATACAAAGTTTATAGTTTTGTACGAATTAGGAACTCAAATTACCAATATTG